CATTCCTCGAGCACTTAGTTTGGAGTTTTATTCCCACTCTCGACTTCCCAAATCATGGCTTTTGGTCCAAATATATTACACTTGTTGGACTTCCACTTCGATCACTACCATATGGCACTATTTTAGCTCCACTTTGGGGCTCAAAAATTTGTATCTCATAACAATAAATCTTGGTTAGCTTATTGTTAACAAGCAGCTATCTTGATGGATAAAAAAATCTTGATAATTTTTTAGAATATTAAGATAATTTTTAAATATTTAAAGAAAATTACAAATGAATTAGAGAAGAGTTTAAGAACAAAAAATCACAACCATAAACCATTGGATTGAAAAGGTGAAGAAATTAGTACTGAAGGTAAGATAACTATATTTTCCAAAAACTGCAAAATTTGTATATATAAAATTTTATATTAATATATTTTTCTTGCATAATTTGAATATATATTAAGGTAAGAGACAAACACTCATGGTCTTGTCTTGGAAAAGATGGCCAAAATATTGGTCTAATTTGAATCATATATAGTTATGAATAAATCTTCACAGAGTGTTTAGGAATTTGTTATTGGTATAAATGTTAAAATATAAAATTTTGATTTCTTCTCTTATTTTTTATAAGCCTATTATTCAAGCATTTGTGGATTTTTTAGATGAGGATTCTATACCACCAATAGTAAATGATTATCAGGATCCATTCCTACAAAATAAAGAAGGTTGTCCTTAAGCCAATATTGAAAATTAAATGCCAAAATGGCAAGTTATCAACAAATTATGTAAGATTTTTACACAAAACCTTTGAATTCATAGTTTAACCTTTTGAGCCTTATGAACCTTGTTAAGAAAAGATAAATTTTACTTTACACCTTATGAACACTAAACATCAAATACAGTAACTGCCAATGGCATGATTATAACATGATCCTATCACTCTATACCATAGAATGATAATATATCAAAAATATTCTTAAACATAATTAACAGTTTTGCTTATTACAAACTTTAAATGGATTTGTGTTGAAGACCACTAAGTACACTTGTATTTCCTCACTTTCTCAAAAATAAATTATGAATGATAATTTTTCAATAATAAGCATGAAAAGGGTTTCCCTAAAAGAATTGCAATAGAAATACTAGTGGTTTAGGATTTGTAAATAGCTTTAATGTCTCAGGCTTGAAATTTTGTTGAAGGGGCGGAACTCTTGCTGAACTGAGCTACAGAGAGGATCATAATCACAGATTTCTCATAGAAATACTAAATGTGAATTGATTTTTGTTTTACCAACTTCGATAGTAATTATAACCACAACATTTACTCAAGTTTAGATATATATCATATTATATTCTGTTGAATAAATATCAGTTGTTATTGGAACTTTACTTACAAAAATATAGTGTGTGAATAAAATTTTATTTACAAAATTTTCTTAAGTACATTAGAGATCAATATGCTGAGTTTTAATGTTGAAAAAACTCAAACTGAAAACATGAATGAGTTTTGAGTCAACAAAAGTTGCAAAATGTTTTAAATGTGGAGTTTTATTTGTTTTAGCCACAGTGCTGCACAGTCACTAACTCCAGGTCATGGCCCCACAGGGCCAAGATGGCAATGGCAAGAAAAGGCCCCCATGCCAAGGCGGCAGCTGGATGGTGGTACGCATAGTCAGCACCTAGGGTTTTCAGGGACTTTAGAAATATCGTTCGTTTATTCTGATATACATAACTTTTAATTTCCTTTAGTTAGAACAAAGTGTTAAAATACGTATAGAAATGTGCAAA